GTCCCTTTGTCTTCTTCAAGTGATATCTTTCCTTGTCGTGCCAGCTGCATAACTCTATCTTTGAAGATGAAACAATCTTCGATGGAGTGACTCACCAAACGATGATACTTGCTGTATTTTGGGTTGTCAACTTGTCCTGCTTCTTCAGGTCGTTTCATCTCCGGCAGTTCGATAAGTTGTTCCCGAATCAAGTCGTCAAAAATTCCAGAAACATCGGAGTCAAGAAAAGGATATTGTTTGGCTTGCATCTCCTTCAGAGTTAACTTTCTTTGCCCCCTATCTTGAAGAACTTCTTTCTTTTCCACAACTTTTTCACTTGTGTTTCCCTTGAGTTTGATGGGTCTTGCATTGACCGTCATTGCTTCTTTTACCTCTTCGTTAGGCGCTCTAGAGAAGAACTTGCCCCCTTTCTTGGCTTCATTTCGGTCGTTGAATCTTTGAGGCTCATGAACAGGTGGATTCTTGACTCCACTTGCAAACATGCTTAACTCCATATCATGTGCGCGAGTGGCCAACTCTTCAAACGACTTTGGTTGAATTCCTTGCAGAATGTATCGGAGACCCCAATGCATCCCTTGAGTACACATTTCAATAGCCGAAACTTCAGACAATCGATCTTTGCAATTGAGGCTTAGATTTCTCCATCGGTTGATGTAGTCAATAACAGGCTCTTCATCCCTCTGCTTTGAATGAGTGAGCTCAATCATGCTGACCGTCCTTCGTGTGCTGTAGAAGCGATTGAGAAACTCTTGCTCTAGTTGCTCCCAACTATCAATAGAATTTGCCTCTAAGTCGGTGTACCACTTGAATGCATTTCCCTTTAGTGACCAAACAAACTGCTTCACCAGACGATCTCCATATGTCCCAGCATCGTTGCAAGTCTCAATGAAGTGAGCTATGTGTTGTTTCGGGCTGCCTTTACCATCGAACTGTTGGAATTTAGGCGGTTGATATCCGGTAGGCATCTTCAAGCTATCAATTCTTTGTGTGTACGACTTTGAATAAGTCAAAGATGACTTGGAGCCTCCATCAAACTTGTCCTTGATGGTTCCCATGATGAATTCTTTGAGTTGGTCAGTTGGTATGAGTCCTCTTGAAGAAACATGGATTTCTGACGAAGACTTTTCTTTTTCAGTTTGCTTCACCTCATCTTCTTTAGAAGTTTCTTCATCCTCATGTATTTCATCTTGCTTGCCCCCAGCATGGCTAATCTCAGCTTTGTCGACCCTTTCTAGCAACTTTAAAATTGTAGAGTCTTGTTCTTGGACATGTTTCATCAGCGACTCCATTGTTTTTGCCATGGCTGCAAGTTGCTCTTCAATAGTTGATGCATTCGTCATCATAACAGGTGCATCCATCGAGAAAGGTGTTGATGAAGCATCGTCTCTCAAATCTTCCTCTTGTTTCATCAAAGACGGCCGATTTTTCTCAACTTGGTGAGAATTTCCTTCCAGAGATACTCTTGTTCTTTGCCATGCTTCTTGTTACGACACCAACACTTTCACTTGCAAAACTTGAAGAAGTTGACTTGGGAGGAGTCATCGTTGCACTTATATATCTTGAAGAAAAGAGATGAGAGGTAGAAATTGTCCCACCGGGCGTGCCAGAAATTTGTAACGCAAAATTTCGTATTATTGAATTAATAAACACGAGAACTTCGTACAAATGGATTTTCAATGGATCAAAAGAAATATACTGGATTACAAATCTCTATTATTCCTCTGATTAATTTCTTCAAGAACGATCTTTAAATGGTTTTGAGACTTTTGGAGACGAATCCTCAGTTTGATTTCTGCGGGTCTTGAATATGGATTTAAATAACGTTTCTTCGAGGGCTTGATAGCTTGATCTCGAATCGAACGTCGTGATTTTCCAAGAACGTGAAGAACACGAATCCTTGTTCTTCGCCGCAAAGTTGATTTTGATCTTCTCTACGCCGGTTTTGACTTTAATAACGTAATTCGGAGGCTTGACAGCTTGTTTCCGAATTAAACGTCGGTTTTTGGCTTGAATGCGCTTGAATCTTCCTTCGGGTCTTCAAGAACGCCTTTGAATCTTCAAAACACTTGAACTTTAATAACGCAATTCGGAGGCTTGGCAACATGTTTCCGGATTGAACGTCGGTCTTGGACTTGAACGTGCTTGAATCTTCCTTCGGATCTTCAAGAACGCCTTTGGATTTTCAAGAACACTTGAATCTCGTGGAGAGAATTCTCTAGAGCTCTTGAACTTGAAAACTTGAATATGAA